TATGACTTAGTCCTGTCCTTCATTTTGGTAATCTCTACATGGCACTCGTGTAGCACATTCACATTTGATCTAATAGCAGCAGTAAGTAATAATAACCTTAACAGATAAACAATAATTAACAGGAATTAATCCTGGTCCTGCTGTGAAGGAGCCCAAGTGATAATTTTCATCTTCAAACACGTAGCAAGTGGGCACCATTTCCAAATCCCATCTCTGACTCCATTACCTCAGACAGCAAGTGTGCCACCACATCTAGTCCCTGCTGAGAGCAGCAGGTCTTTCCAGAGCCACTGCAAGATACAGCCCAAATCTCCGCAGCAGAATTGCAATCTGTTTGTACTGCAAGCTGAAACAGTTGGGATTGAGCCTGTAAGCCATTTGGCAATGCCACTGTTGCATTATCAGGGTTTTTCTAGGGAAGGGAGTGAACTGATTTGTTCAGGAGTGATAGCAGTATCAGTTGCGTTGACTCTGGAAGCAGTTAAACCTGCACAGAGCAGAAGCAGGTGAAAAGTCCAGGCCTGTTTGATGACACTTTCCTAATCACAGCTGGCAGGCAATCTCACTGCTAGAGGGTGAAATCATGAAGAAAAAAATCCAACCACAAGATTTTCAGGGTGCCCAGTATTTTGCTCTGTGGCCACTTTATCAAAGCACCTGCCAGCTTTTTGCTTACTTTCCAAGATCGTGAAATATGCAGAAACAGGTTTTCAAGAAATCTAAACTATAAAAAAGCATGGAAGGTAAATATTGAAGTACACACACTTGTTGCTACGTTTACATCTTTTCACTCTTTACCCAAAATACAGGCATACCTACCCAGACACTGGCAATAACAGCACTAGGCATCTGAAACCATGTTTTCTGCTTCTGTCTCTTTTGTACTGTAATGTAAAATTAAAATAGTTTGTAGAATGTGATTGCACAGACCCCATTACTTCAACCATATTTTTCATTTTTAACTTGATTCAATTAAAAAGCAATACATAGGAATGCCAAGAAAATTTATGGAATATATGGAATATATGGAACATCAAATACCATAAGTCAGTTGCTATTCCAATCTCTGCCATAGACCTTTATCATGTCCTCAGCATGAAAACAGGTAGTTCAGCACAGGCATCCAGCTCCAAAATTATGTGCCCATATTTCAACTTTTTTGTCTTTTGCTTCTGCATCTTGCCTCCTTGCCTTACAAGACAGATTCTTTTTGTTGAGTTCTGAACAATGAAAGTCAATGTATTTTCTCTCCCATTTACTGATATCATCCTACTCAAGGTATTAGGGAAGGGAGGACACTGTTGGTGTTGGGCTTTCCCCAGCTTGTATGGCTGCAGCACCCCACAGGTCTGCAGATGTACTGGCAGATAATGCAGAAAAAGACTGGTGTCTTTTGCCTGTGAATGAATACCATCTGGGATATGCTGAGAACTGCTACTAGTGTGTGCAAAGATAGCGAGTACAAATTTGGTGATTTATATGGAAATGGCTGTAAGGAGGGAGATCATGCTGTTGGATTGTGCTTTATATACAAGATGTCATGTGATCTAAACCCACAGATATTTTCCACTTCTTGCCACAAACCACAGGCTAGAGCTTCAGCTCAAACTGAAGAACGCTTCTGGTTCTTATGGCTGTGGAGGTAGCACTGAGAGGGGCTGAGGAGATGAACCATGTTCAAGACAAGATAAAATTACCCCACTTTCAACAGTAAGTTTTTATCGAGCCAGTTTAAACCATTGCCCTGACAAGGAGGAGGGGCAGATTTCCATCTGAGCTACCCACAAGGGCTGCACCCTGGAGCTGCTGCCCAGGCCTAGCATGCATTCTGCAGCTAGCTCCTGCCCATCATCTAGGTAACTGGCATGAGCTGCACTAAAAATATTTCAGGAGAGCTCAGATCTAGGTGGCTTCAGAGCACACAGGTGACTTGTAAGCATATGATCAAGATGAAGTCCCTGGGTTCTGTAGCATGATAGAAGAGAGTACATTGAGACATAGACTATTTTACGGGCCTAAAGATGACACAATGATCCTGCTTTACATTTCTTTGTAACATTGTAATTCAGGTTAATGCTTACTATTAATTTATTATGTGCTAACACTTCCTGTGTACATAGGGTTGCTTAGACCTAGCATGCAATTCACTCCAGCAGCTCCCCAGCTGCCCATGGTTGAGATCAGGAGAAATGCAGTGGCACAATTTGCAGGCCTGAGTTATAAGGTAGACTTGGGCTGGACATCAATGCCCTTTGTCCATTTTTGGTTCATTGTCTGGCACTTGATGAAATCTTTCTCTATGTTAGGACCATTCATTCCTGATGCTATCTCCCATTACCTTATCTAAGAGCATCACTGATTTGTTTCTAAATGATGGGGTTTATAGAAGAACCCAGTTTTCCATGGCTTCTATTATTGCATGTTGCTTTCGTTTCAAGCATGCCAAATCACAGATTGAGAGATTAAATCCTTTGATGCATTAATTGATACAGCTGGAAATAAGCTCTTGAGCACATAGGCCTCCTTCAAGTCTTTGTGTGTTTTAGTAATCGATGTCACATTTAAATCACAATGTCAACTCTCATTGCCACTTACTATACCTTATGTTGACTTAAGCAGTATAGCATCTCATTTCCCAGCAGCTGCTAAGAGTTTAGTTAAGACCTAGCTATACATCAGCAAGACAAACTATTCAAAATTACTTCTTGCAACAATAGAAGCCTAATGGGTTTTGCAATAAATTAACTCTATGACACGGAGGGAAAAGTATTTGCTTAGTAGCAGCAATGATAATGGTTACGTGCCCAACCTGATTAGAGAGTTATCTGTAAATCCTGAATGAAGCTGCTTGCATTATTCAACCAAAAGGTCTTGGGTAACAGAAACAACATAAACATATATCTGGTAGAAAATGTATAATTTACCTGCTATGCCTTCTACACAGCCTTAGGAGACATGCCAAATAAAAGGAATTAAAAGCAATGCTCAATAACTATCCACTTACTAAACGAGATGGGCATCCCATAAAAAACCACAGCAATACAGAGGTATGCACATGAACAAGCACAGAGGGACTAACATTGTACTCCCTGCCTCCTGAGACCACATAATTCTCCCCACCTCCTTTCTCCCAAGAGACATTTCCTACTTTCACTTCAAGTTTGTGCTGTTCTGTGAGAACTAATTAAATTACTTCAAAAATGGTTACATAAAAGTTATTTTCCTTAAAAATACACTGTATGTTTTTGTTTACTGTTCTTGACTGTGATCAGTTTAATCAACTAGAAGCACGTCTTACAAACTCCTCAAGGCTAAGAAGGTTTTTATGCTCTTCCATTGCTCACACAGATTTTGCAAGTGACCCCAAGCTTGAGGATTAACATGTAGATAGTAACATGCTAGGGGAAATTTTCAGGTAGAGTAGGACAGGAAAGGAAGTAAGATTCACTGCAGATTGTTTAACCTATGCAGAAGTTGTGAGAGCTATGGAAAATGTGGAAAAGTCCCCAGTGAGTTTTTGAGACTCACATGAATCTCAGTAGGATTTTGTGTTTCCAGGCTGTTTATGTATTTCCTGAAACTGTTACAATAAATTTTCAAGTCTTGATGTGACTTGAACTTGCACTCTGATGAAGTCTACCTGATGTCTTGCACTCTGCAATGAAGGCTGAATGCCACTTGGATGCTTTGCGAGTCTGGTTGGTAGCTGATCTCCCAGGTAGACAGAAACCCTGCAGGGGCAATAGTCAACCTCATCTGAAGCCCCATGGCCATACTAACCCTAAAGGAGCCCTTGTCATAACATTTCATAACTTGCAGGTTCATCCTGTGCACTCCACCAGCTCTGACACCAACTTTAGGAAGCTGCCAGTGTAAGGGAGCAAGTCTTCAGACGTTGGGGCTAATGTGCCAATGAAAACACGACTCTGAAGAGCATGGTAGCCCAACTGCAAGCAGGATCAGACTGGTTAGATGTTGATGTCTCAATACTTGAGGGCTCTCTTTTTTCATTTTCTCAGCGCTTGGATTTAATGATACTAAAAACTTCCATGTCAATGAGAACTGAAGTCCAGGAAAGTCAAGAGAGTGCTGACCTTGCTGGACCTGCTTGCTTACACTGGCGTCTTTGACCCTGTTTTCCTCCTGTCTTAAGACTGCAAGTTTAGTGGGGGCTGGGACCACTCTTTTAGCTCGGCTTGTACTGCAGTGCACGTCCAGGATGTTGGAGTCGGAAGAGCACGGCTGGAAACATCAGCAAGTGTCAGATGAGACGGGAAGGAAAATTAAGGCTACATAATCACCGTGTGACCCAACTGCGAGAGCGGCTCAGCAGGTGATGGTTAGACTTAGGGTCTCTGTCCCATGCTCCACCAGCCCCATGCATACTGTAACATCCAAAAGCGTGTCTGTGCACCGCAGGGAGCTCGGGGCAGCCTGGCTGCAGGACGGTGCCCCTCTCATGGGGACACCCAGCTACAGTCCCTGTCCCCGCAGCAAGCGGGACCCGGCTGGGCAGGGGGGCCGAGAGCCCACTCCCGCGGGATGGAGGCAACCGCAGCAGGTGCGCTGGGGTCTAAATGCAAAAAAGGACATGTCGGGGGTGTGTAGGCTTCTTCTGGGGGAGGGTATGCGTCTGCCCTTCTGGCTAAATTCGAGCCTGTGCTTTTTAGTTGCCGGCTGGCCAGCAAGGGCACGCAGGGCGCTGCGGCATGGATTCACCACAGGGGTGGGGGCTTCCTATTTTTGTAGCTATTTTTGACAGCCTGCGGTGTGTGTGTGGGGGGGTTCCTCCCTGCCATGAGCGCAGCCCCGGCGCAGTGCACGGAGGAGCGCCAGGGCTGTGCGAGGGGCGGCGGGGGGCGGGTGTCCCGGGCGGCGGCGGCGGCGGCGGGCGGGCACTAAGACCGCGCCGCCCCCGGGCGCTGCGCGGCGGCCGCAGAAGAGGAGGAGACCGGCGGGCCCGGGAGGAGAGGCGCGGAGGGGAGCGGAGCTATGTTAAACCCGGGGTACCGCTGAGGCGGGGCGGGCCAGGCCAGAGGCTCTCCGGCGGCGGGCGCGCAGGGGCCCGGCTCCCGAGGCGGCGGCAGGCAGCATCTCGGCGCGGGGAGCGGCTCCGCAGCCACCGGGCCAATGAACATGTCAGTGTTGACTTTGCAGGAATACGAATTCGAGAAGCAGTTCAACGAGCATGCGGCCATCCAGTGGATGCAGGAAAACTGGTGAGTGCCGCCCCCGGGCCCCGCCGCCCGCCCGGATCGGGGAGGCGCTGAGCCCATCCGGGTGCGCGGGTTGCGCCCGGCCGGCGCGGTGCGGCTCGGCTCGGCTCTGCGCCGCCGTGCGCGGGCACACGGGCGCTGCCGCCGGAGCTACCTGCGCGCCCGGGCGGGGTCCACCCCGCCGGGTTACACAAGGCCGGAGCATCCCGCCGCGGGCGCGGTGCGATGCGGGGCCCGAGCCCCACCGCCGCTCCCTCCCGCCGCGCCCCGGCTGGCCCGGCGGCGCAGAGCCGCACACGTGCCCCGGCTCTGCCCTCGGCCTCCCTCGCCTCCAGCCCTGCCCGACCCTGCCGCTCCCCGCGCTGCAGTCTCGTTCAAACAAGTTGCGCGTTTGCCCGCGCTCCCCGCGGAGCCCCTTTGCCTTCCCCCTCCCCTCCCCCAGCTCGTATTAAACTTCATTTGCAGCCATGCGGTTATTAACTTTCCCGGCGTGTGCGTGCGGCCGGGGAGCCGGGGCGAGCCGAGCCGCGGCGGCACCGGGCTGCGCATGGACTGTCGGGGCTCCCCGGGTGGCGGCGGGCGGCCCCGCAGAGGGACCCGCGCTCCCCGGCTGGCCCGCCGAAGGGGAGTGGCTGTGCCGGCAGGCTGCTCTCTGCAGGCACTGCCCCGGGGGCATCCCCGGGCCTTGGCCGGTGGCAGGGAGACGAGGATGGGGAGAGCGCCCCAGCTGCCCTTCCCCCCTCCGCGGGGCCCTCTGAGCTGTGCTCTTGGCCGGCATCCCTCTCTCGATGACACTTGCCCACCTTGCCCCGGTTCTTGTCCTGGCTTTGTCCATCTGCACAGGCCTTGTGTTCACAGTCTGCCCCCACATACCTGTGCCTTGCTGGTGCACCGTCCCTGACCACCCTCTCCTAGTGCCCAGTCTAGCCCTTTCTGCTGCTTCTGTGGTCTCTCTCGCCAGCTGGCCCCCAGCTTTTGCATTGCCCGCGTGTCCTCCCCTGGCAGGGCTGTGTGCCCTTTTGAGCTCCTGAGCGAGGCCCTTCCCCATGGCACCCTCATGGGACAGTGGTAGTATGGGACTGCCTCTGAGCCCAGGCTTTCGTGTCTACATTTGTAGGGCAGAGTGGTCCAGGATCCTAGGTGGATCTCAGCCAGGGATGTGCTAGAATCCTTTAGTGACTTGTCTGGGGAATTTTAAGGGCAGTATCATTAAAATGACCATTTAAGTGCATGTATGTCTCCCTCTGTTCTGTAGGTGAGCTCATCACCTCTTGAAGAGTGCCTGGTGTCACTCATGTTTCAGGAGAAAGGAGACCACATAGATATTCTTGGGCTGGGATTATTGGGTGCTTCCCATTCTGTCCGTGTTCCAGAAGAAAATTGGCATCAGAGTAGGACATGCTGATGAAAGAGGATGGAGGGGGATACATGAGTATATATAATAACCCAGGAGAGATACAGTTTATTTTAAAGAACATGCCTAGCAACTAGCACTCCAGCATCTTCTCCTTGACTCTCCTGTGCTTCATGATTTGACCTTGGGAACATTACATAACCTCTCCTAGGCCTCAGTTTCCCCAGCAAAGAAAGACCAGGGGAGTGGGGGATAATAATGCTGAAATGTGCTTATGAGGTGCTTGAATTACGTAAGTAATATTTACCGAGTGCCTTGAAGATGTCAGGTACCACATAAGTACTAAGCAGTGTTATTGAAATCTCTCTGGCAGTTTGATGTGCTGCAGAGGTCGTCAGCTGGGATTCTGCAACGCTGGGCTCCCACTGTCCGAGTTCAGAGGAGGAGACTGTCAGTGTTACACTGCTGCTGTACAGCTAGAGAGGCACAATCATACATGTCCACATGCTTTTCTGTCTGGTTTCACCTTCTCTGAGGAAACTGATCAATTAATGTCTTTGATTCTTGTGAAAGTGAAAGAGAATGATCTTCCTGTGTCCTGGGAATGTTTTTGGAAATTAAATAGAGCTGCAGCCTCTGAGGTCTCTGTTGTGGCAGGCTTTTCCTGAAGATGCTGCTGAAGACTTACAAGTTTCAGGTTAAATTGGGCATTTTTATCTTGAAGAAACACTCTTGCTTAATGAAACAGGTCCTGTTCAAGTGTATGGGTTTTGCAGGGAGCTGAACTGGTAAAATATAGCAGATTTTTTTTACTTCCTTGAGGATGACTCAATAGGTCTGTGTATGCAGACATCAATGTCAGAGTACACAGCTCCTGCACTTTGTAGGTGTAGCCTTAATGTACACATCCTTAACGTAAGAGCCATCAGAGATGAAGTTGTCAGGCAGTAGTATGTAGGGATAAACATGTTCCTTCTCTCTTGGAGCAGGAAGACAGACTGGGGGACATGCTTAAGGAAAGACTATGGCTGGATTTTATACTATAATTGTTATTTAAATCAGGGTGCCATACTATTACAATGTCTAACATGAAGGTAAACAAATTCTATAGGTGTGGCATTTGCTATTTTACTCATCTGAGAACTATGTCTTGTAACCTTACAACATGCACACACACAAAAAAGGCTGTAGGGTGTTAGGTTGGCTCTAAGGAGTTGACCCTGACTTTTGGATTTTGAAATGTCTGGCTAGGTTGGATATGAAGATGTCAAGTTTGAGGATGGATATGAATCCTTTTACATATCCTCTTGAGTTCTGAGCTGGTTAAAGCACCATCATGCCCTTTTAATTAAAACTCTGTAAGCCTAAAGCTGGAAAAGCTTGAACTCAAAGCCTGGGGGTGGTGGCATACACCCCTAGGTACTGGTATGGTTGGTCAGGAAGGATCAGGTGCAAGGTCTGGTTCTGTTCAGCCAAGGCTTGCCCCTCTTTGCCTTAGTCCTTTGAGCCTGATGCAAGTTTCATCACTCCCTGGGGCAAGTGTATGTCCTCTGCCCTCACCAGTAGCTGGCATCCAGTCTTTTCTTTCCCATCCCAGGGCTTGTTTCCTTACTGCCATTTGCCCCTGAAAATCCCATCAGAGGGCATATTGGTCTAATGGCAGTGAATGAGCTCTTCCTTGCTTCGTTCCAGATGGTCCTGCTTCACTAGATGGAGAACCCCATCCTGAAACATGCATGGCACTGAGACCTCTTTAAAGCTTGGGCCTGGAGTAGCAGTGCTGTAAAGAGGCTGCTGGTTTTGAGGAGAAATGAATAGTCTGTTGCCTGATACTTATGAGCAGATAGGTTTCATGCCTCCTTGAATGCCTGGCTTTATATTTACGCACACCTTTGTGGTATAGCTCCCAGACTGCCTGGTTCTCATGCAGGGAGGCAGCTTGGAGACTGCAAAGATAGACCTGCAGTCTGCTGGTCTCTGATAATAAGAGCTGCCAATTAGTTGCCTTCCCTAAATTAACAATGGCAGGATTTCTGGAGGCTAATGAACAGCAGGTCCATTTACTCTCATGAAACTCCTTATACTTTGTTTTGTGGGAAAGCTGTTATTGATACATGTTTAAATATAGTGCCATCTAGTAGCTTTGCATTTAAAATAAAGTATCACTTTAAGATATTGCCATGTTGTACTCAAATCATGGGAGGTGTGATTTCAGCATGTTCAGGATTAAGTCAAATGTTTATTAAAATAATTGCTTAAAATGATTTCTCAAATCAAACTCGCTCAGCACCTCCTCCCAAACTTCTTCAAAGAGGGAAGTGAATGAAGTAAATAGTCTGCAAAGGATTTTTTTTTCTTTAAACTGCTGCATGAGAATTAATGCAACTCTAATCCTTTATTTCTTATGGGTAACTATATTTAATATTTGTGAAGAAAATTCACAAATGTTCTGTCAGACATGCAGCAAAAAGTGTTGTAGCACTGAGATCCTGATTCCCAGCTGCAGCCAGTGAGGCAGCAAAAAGCTGGTGGGCGCGCTCAGGAAAGGCAAAGTGACAGAAATGCCTGGATGGAGTAGTGACCGCCAGAGTCCTTCTCCATCGTGCTGCAGAGCACCAGGTTCAGGCAGCAGCACGAAGTGACAGTCGTTCCTGTTATAATTGTCTGGCCAATAATAATTATCTTCAGATGTCTGCTGACGAGGGGCTCGCCAATGGGGAGGCAGGAGGCCTGTGCTGACTGCGCTGAGATTATCTGGGAGAGCTGACGTCACACCGGGGCTTGCCTAAAATCACAGAAACTTTTCCTCTGCTGCTCCGCCGGCTGCTGCAGCGCTCCGGACATCCCTGCCCCAGCCTGGTGTCCGCCTGCCAGCTGCTGCCCTGGGCAGGCTCTCCTCACTCCTCTCTCTCTCATTCCTCTCCTGTTTTGCTTCCTAAAAAGCCAAGGTTTAACCCTTTGCAGCTGGCAGGATGCTTGCAGGTAGTACTGGGAGGAGGACGAGCAGGATGAAAGTGAAACTGGTTATTCCCTAAATATGCTGTTGGGCTCTGCTGCACAAACTGGCTGGTTTTGTTATCATTACCTGAAGTAATGCTTCAGTAACGAGAGAAGGACTGCTGGGAATTTTTTGGTATCCGACAACTCAATTCTGAAATCAACTCAGTGGACCTTGGATGAGGATAATTATTTATGTATTTGAAAGAAAACATCTCTGCAGGAAGTTATTTTTAACCTTTTGTTACCAAAACTTTTATGTGAAAGAGGCAGAAAATGGAGCCAGTGCTGGGAAAAATTTGTCCTTTGGTGTGATTTTCTTTCAAGTCAAAACTAGAGATAAATGTGGAAGGGCAGAGGGTCAGCTAATTTGGATTTGTAAATGCACTTGCCTTTTAATAATTCACACAAGCACTATCATCCTAGACAGGTTTGTTTCCTAAATGCAGAACAAGCTCTTCTCATCCACTTAAGCTGCTCTTACCTCATGCAGAAATTAAGAGTGAGAGGCTGTGAGCGTATCTCTCCAGGCATATGTGCGTAGCAGCCAAAAACTGATGTAAATTACTTCGCCCCCCCCCGCCCTGAGTTCTTGCTGGATGCCAAGTGAAGGATGTAGAGAGGGATGCTGCAGTCACCCTGTACTTTCTTC